ACATCCAAGCACTACAGCATCAATTCCAGCCTTCAAAAAAAATCAAAGAGAATTTCCAATGAACAATGTCACTTTTGTAGCAGGTTGTGGTTTTATTACTGTTATATTTCATTATACTAGTTAAAAACATGAATTTTTGAAAAGATAAAGAAAACTAGGTGCAAAATCCAGGCTACAAACAAATACCTATGAGAATAAGTACATTTTTAATGCACGGTTCATTGTAGTGAAGCTCTCTAGACTAACAGCTGAATCTATTGCAAGATCAAAAAAGAAGGTCAAACTAACAATGAAAAGCCATATCAAAAGATTTCAGAAGGTTGAGTGATAACACAAAGAGCAATTGTCCTTGAGACAATGGGGTTTATGTCATGTATCCAGCCTCTGTGACAAAACATGCAAACAAAATTCCCCAGCATCCAGCAATAATTAAAATTCAGTTGAAACTACGTGTCCCAGAAAGGGATTAAAGAAGAAATAAAGAAATAAAGAAAAATGGCATATTTATGCAGCAAATTGTATCTAGTGGAAATGATTTAAAGGTGACAGGTTTTCAAACCAGTGTATAGCCTTGGTGCAGCAATGGTATTTACCATTCTCAGCAAGTTTTTGGGGATCTGAGGTTTGTTTTTGTTTCTTTTCTATTTGAGGCTTCTTTGGCTCTCAGTCTTTTGTGACCCCAAGAAATGCCACATACTAAACTAGAACAATAGACATGGAAAAAACCCAGGTGACCATTTCATAACATGAAGATTTTCATAACTTTTGGACAAACATGTATGTCCTGTGATATATTATGTCTCCCTGCTACAACACTGAATGCTCTCACAGAAACAAGGATGAAGGAAAACACTGTGGCAGAAAATAACGAGATAGGCAAAGATCCATGAAGTTCTTAGGCAGGTGTAGCTCTCTGGCCTCTGAAAAACTCCTTAAATGACTTATCAAAATAATTTTAAAAATCTACTTCAGTCACATAGGAAACTCAAGACTCTGGAACTGGGTTTTCATATCTCATCTATCTATAGGGCAAGTATCTCCCCTTGAATGTCATGGGGGAAGGAGGAGAGCAAACTAGAGAACAGTCAGCCCAACTTCAAATCTCACAAATATACAATTCAAATGTTGGGCCTCAATATACCTATAGTTTCTGCAGTAAAAACTGCCTTTTCAGGAACAAACTGTGTCAAACCAGTCTAATTTCCTTCCTCATTATGATAGCTACCTAGCTAAGGGGCACAAAACCCATATTAAAATTGATGCTTTTATTAAGGTCCCACACAAAAATCATCGCATACAAACTAGAGAAACATGATTAAAGCACTGTTTGTTGTAAGAGGTTATCTGACTCTCATTGAGAACATATTCTGTGAATCACTTCTAAACTAAAAGAGTATTTCAAGTAGAGTTCCACAGGGGTTTGTTTTGGTCTTAACCATATTCAGGATTTTGTTAATAACATGGGTGCTGCATAGCAAGCATTCCTAAATTCTATCAGGACATTACTGAGCCAGAAGAGGTTTCCATGAGCTAAGGTGTATACTGGGACCAGTTTAGACACCTCATTTTTCAGAAAGATACAGCCAAATTAAGAGTGTGCTGAAAGGGAGAAGACTTAAGAGTTTCCCAAACTACTACTTATGAACAAATGCTCCTGAAACAGGGTTGGCTCCTTCAGAAACAGCAGGATGTCTCAGTCAAGCCCATCTGGTGCTTAGACAGCAATAATCCTTACAAACAGACATTTCCTTTTGCTCCCTCCAGCAGCAGAGCACAAAATTTATTCTAGATCTCCTTCTTGCTGTTCCACTTAAGGATGTGGTGAATCTGATGCATCCCCAACAACTCAGCTTAAAAAACGGGTTACTGAACTGTTTTCCAAGACTGACCCAATTTCCTCTAGTTGTGTTTGATCCTGCCTCTCTGCTGAAGCCCTGCCAAAATCTCTCCAGGTCACTTTCAGACTCTGTGATTTCTGTTGATTATGTTGCTTTTTTTATTTCCTGTTAAATAAAAAAAAGAAAAAAGACAAAACCAACTAGCAAAACTTTTATCAAGCTTCTAGACAGATAGATGTAGGCAAGACTTCATTTTCCAATATTCTTTATAGACTTATTTAGACTATGAGTATATTCTAGCTTTTTACTTTAAGAATGTTTTTCTCCCACCCACCATGAATGCCAAGCCTGTCAATCACACTAACAACAAGATACATATGGGACAGTTTAAGGAGGAAGAGCAGACATGAGAAACTGCTCCTTTCACTTACTTGGAATCAACTCCAACATGTGTGCCTGGGAGAAAAAAAAATGAGTATGTGGTAAGTCATGTTACTTTCATTATTTTTGTATAAAATGGGAAAAAACAAACAGGGACTACAGTTCATATTTTCTGTACTGTAATATTTCATTGACCTATTTTGCTCAAGTACATTTTCCCGGGGCAGTATTCCAATCTTGCATCCAGTAAAACAAGTTGCTTGCTGCTGCTACGGGGTTTTGCAAAGCTGAACTTGACTGTGGAAGTTTTGAGATACATTTAAAACATTTAGTGCTTATGTTCATGAAGACATAGAGAGTATTTAGTAGGAAATGCCAGTGCTATGATCTAGGAAACAGGTTTATACTGCTTTTTAGCTATGAAATCACAAATGGAGAACTTAATTTACAAAAAGACAAGGAGCTACAAAAACTTATTCTTTATGTTGCTTGCACATTTCAGACTCTAGGATATGAACTTCAGCCAATATATAGTGTAAAGATGTGCTAACTCTGCTTGATATACAGGTTCTGTATGGGAATTAATTTCTCTTTAGAGGACAAAATACCTCGTGTATAAAATGCTCACATTCAGATTCCTCTGAAATTTGGTAGTGCTCAAGTACAAGATGTTCTTTTTCATTAGGGCTCAAAAAATGAAATTTCTTTATAGATAGAATCAGATTTCTACCTTTTTTTTGAGGAGTAAAATTGTAAGCAGTGCAGATTAAAAGTGTTAATGTCTCTAGTAAGACACAAGTTTTTAATATAGCAGATTATTCTCTGCACACATACCCAAATATATTTTTAAGCCTGCCAGGGTTCAAAGCAGATCAGGAGGCTCCAGGGAATTTTCAAGTAGCAAGCAAGCCTGATCTGCCCTAGGCTAGTGCTGTTTCACATTCAAGTATCTAAACTCTGCTTCAAAATTTTATGTAAGCACCTGAAAGTTTGGAAAGAAACCATTTCTGTGGCCTGTCTTTATCTGGGGGACTCTGAAAGCCTCAGTATTCTGCTCAAGAACTCCTCCCACTACAGCCCTCACAGCCAACATGTGTCCAAGTGCACATATTTATTTGGGTTTATGACACCATGGAGGTGATACATTCCACAGAGGAACTAGAAGTATGAGAGTACTAAGTAGAGTCAGTAATCAAATTTGGCATTCCCCAGACAGCAATTCTTGAAATAATCCCCTTGAGGGTCATGGAAGGCAAGTGGAAGTGCATGACAGTATTCTCCATGTCTGTCACACTAAGGACAGAGAACTACAGCATCAGCTGAGCCAAGGGCAACACCAGCATCAAGAGACGAGATGCAGGATCCCAGATGAGCCTCTCCAAGTCCCTGATCTTTTTTCTTTTCTTTCCCCTCTTGTCATTGTGTTTAATCTGACTAAAACACTAATGGAAAAATATTTCCTGCAAGTCTTACAAGGCTCTTTGGTCAAAGCACCTATGCTACAGCCCTTTTTGGAGCACAAAACTGAGCAGCACCTTCCCAAACAGATCTGCCTCATTCAGTGTTTATGCAGTCAGAGGCAGACTGCATAAACACCTAACCTTTTAAGAGACTGTCCTAAGAGCCTAGAACACAAATTAAGGCAATGTCAACACAGAAGAACTAGCCACAATCTAGTATTGAGGGAGAGCAGAGAGAAAACAAGTAAAAGAAGGAGGACACCTGGGCACAACAAGGTGGGGCAGCTGGCAGGGCAGAGTTGCAGCTCACCCTGCAGCCCAGCAGGCAGTGTAGGAAGGTGACAGCAGCTGGCAGCCAGGAGCAGTTCTCAGCACTTCCAAAAATGCTCCCGGCCTGATGGGGAGGTGGAGCAGGTACGGCTGGCAGCACACACTGAACTGCAAAATTCTTAATGCACTATTTTTAATTTGCCTTTGAGATGCTCCTGAACAGGACTGCTTACACCTACTGGGTAAGCAAACAGCCTGTACCACATAAATATCTGTACTTCACGTTATTCACGTTCCACACCTGATGCCATCTGTTCTTTGGTTGTTTCCTGTAAGCAGCCACTAAACCTGTAACTCACACATCTCCTACCCAGCTGCTTCCCACTTTCACAATTCCTGACAACTCTACAACAGAAAAAATCACTCCTGCACCCAAACTAGGCAAGCAAAATTTCTTAAGGAATATATGCACCTCTCTCTTCTGCATACGGTGGAAATAGTATTGCTGTCTCCTGTCATCCAGGAAGATGGTGCCCCCCTTGGAAAAACTCACAGCCACCACTCTGAAACACTGAACAACACAAAGCACCGTGAAATTCAACATAATTTTTTCAAAATATGCCAGCCAAGCACCTCTAAGGTTTTTCTAAGCAGGCCAAATTTAAGTAAGAGTTTCAATCTTATTTCTGAAACTCTGGGAGTGGAGTTCTGCCAGACTCAGTGTTCTGCCAAGTGAGAAAATAGCAAAAAGGTATTCACTGGCAACAACTGACCTGTCAGTCACTCTAACAGTAAAAATACATGCAGGAAAATTTTAAGGATAGCAGATGAGACACTAACTTTTTCAGTAATGACAGGTATGTGCACATGTTGATATAACAACCAGTTTCCTTATACTGGAATCACTGACACAAAAACATTGGTACTTCCTAAATCACCCTTTACAGGCGTTCACTTTAAGTGACCAAACAGGAAAAAAGTTGCAAAAACTACTTCCTCCTCTGATTTCTACATCAGTAAAAAACAGTAGAGCAAGAGTTCAGTATTACTCATGCAGATCAAGTCTTTCTGCCTGCATAGAAGCATGACCACAAAACTACCATCTCAAGAGGAGTTTGAGAACTGGACAGCTTTTCAAGTTGCAGATCTCTTAAGACAGGTACTGAATCTATATGTAAGACTTTAGAGAGTTCAGTCTATATTCAGCTAGCAGAAACACTTACTGGACTTATCCTTGAAAACCAGACGTCTTACCTTACATCTAGCACAAATATTTAAAAGTGCTAAAAATAGTTTTGTCACCACTCATTAATATGAGTTTTTTGGTACTCTCCTGTTTTCTATAGAAATCTAATGCATGGTAGACACTGAGATCTCCAGCATTACAAACCATACAAAAAATATTTTCTCACAGGAATATTGTTATAAGGGAAAAGGTATTTCATGCCTGAATTTATTTCCTGCTGGGAAAAAAAAATAATTTCAGAGAAAGTATGTCTAGTTTTATATTTGAATATAGCTTTTATATTTACAGCATGTCAATAAGAATCTACTGGTCATGTTTTGCTCTCAATGCATATATACAAACAGTAGTTGCTAGATGTTGTTTAATGTACTTGAACATTTGGAGGGGGTTTGAACCATTCCTTTGTTGGCTGGTATATTTCTTTGTTCTGCAAGGTCCTTTCTAGTATATCTAAAATAACCAGAATTGCACAAAGTATTCCAAGCTCATTTCAGACATCTTTTACTATCTTATTGATCTCCTCTCAGATATATAAAATATATCCTCCATGATACAGCCTTTGTAAATCACATTTTTCCTTTTAACTTACTGAATACTATTACTCAGGTTTTAGAGTTCTACCTGTAACTTCTAAAGGCCATTCCTGAAATTGGATGCATAATCTCATTTTATATCTCTTTTGTTTTTCTGCAAGTTATTCTATGTAATTTTGCATATAAGACTTTTTTTCTTGTGTTTATTCTAATTCTAATTGTAAGAGCACCAATCTTTTCCAGTACCATCTTTACACCAACAGTGAGAATTCATGGCTATTTAGGTGTCTCATCCTCTTCAGCTAAAGGAGCATACAATCTTTTTCAAGACAAATAATAATGCTATAAAGTCTTCCCACAGGAGTTCCTGTTTGATTCCTAAATTTTCTTGCCACTTTTCATGCATAATAGTTAATTTCTTTTAAAAGCCACATTAAGTCATCTAACACACCATGAGATTTTTAGGACATCTTCAGCCCTGATCCATTCTTTTCCACTTTTTAATAGGAAATCCGATGTGTCAGGCTTTTTCCAAACTACTATTCAGTAGTTACTTCTATTTCAAGATGTAATATTTCTGGATATTCTGGTTTAATTTTAATTTACAATCAACATCAACTTTGTTAAAAAACACGATTACCACAACCAAGTTACAGAAAAAAATCCTGTTTCTGAACCTGAATTCTTTCCAGCAATGTCCATCATCATGGTAAGTGCAAGACACAGCCCAAATAGCTGGTGCCAAAGTCAAGCAGAGCAAAAAGAGGCTGGTAAACAGCCATGTGGGATGATGACATGGCTACTGCTGAACTTTTGCCTCAGGTTACCTTTTAACCTGTTTCTAATTCCAGCTTCTTATCCCACAGCAATCCAGAGTATTTCTGTTGGGCTCCTTGCTCCACTTATATGATATTTGCTGCTTCAAAATTTCTTCTTGTCTACTCCATTCACAATTGCATTAGCCCTTATCCCCTGTAATCTTTCTTCTAAGAAAGAGGTAATACTGTGTCTTATCTCTAACGTGAAAGTCACTGCCTAAGCATTAGTTACTCAATATTCTTTTTCTAATTATCCTTGTCAAGTAGTATAACAATTTCCACAACCCTGAGTATTTGAGCATGGAAATATTAATTAGTTTGTTTACAAATGCCAAGTTTCACACTATTGTAATAATCTTGCCTTTTTTCTCACCTCAGTTTGGAATGCCTGAATCTGCTGTGGTTGTAGAAAAACTGTGCATGAATGGATCTCATTTCTTGGTAAGCAAATATTCCATAAGAGCTCTCACTCAGGTGTATTTCAGTTTAAGGACTGTACTCCTTACAGTGCCAGGAAATAATGTGGAATGTCTCCTTCTTTATACACACTTCATCAATTGCTTTGATTTTCCATTTTAGTGGGTTGATTTACACCTCTGACTCGAGGAATCCCCCTACACAAAAGAAATCCCAGTCAGGCTTCCCCAGCTCCAGAGAAAGGGCAGATATAATCAGCCCAGCACACAGGTGTGGCAGGGGACACCTCATGAAATATGAGGAGGTGGTGGGGGTTTTTAACAATATAGATATTTTAAAGCCTTCATTTATGTAAAAGCATTTTCATAAAATTTGCATGATTAAGAACATTTACCAGCATAGAATTGTACATAAATTTTATAGTAAAATTTAAAGAAACAATGCCCGAAAAATCTGATAATGCCCTTTCCTGACCTCTGTAGAATTTTTTGATGAGCATGTTTAATTGATGGCAACTAATCAGGGGAGAAGTCTAAAGGAACTCCTTGAACTGCAGCAATTCCTCGACCAATAACACCATTTGTGTAGCTACTGAAGTAAAAGTTCCTTAAAATCTATTTTAAAGGGAAAATTGTGATTGCACTTCAGAGATAATATGTTTGTGTGGCAATTCATTGCTTAACAGAACTGTTTCCTGGGTGCATCAGGCGTTTTACCTGCTGTTTATTCTAACAAGAGTTTCAGTGCTGCAACATGATTCACGAGACTGCAGGTGCTCCATGGCCACAGAGTAAAACTGGTTTTACCAACAGCTCACACCAATGCAGTAGGGCTGACAAAGCTGTCAAGTACACTCTGATGCCTGTCCCGTTGACCCATTACAAATTGGACCCCTAAAGGTGCTGCACTATCCATCACTGGATGAGAGGCAGTGAAGTTAAAGCTAAGGGTGGATGTGGTAGCTTCCTGTGGCTCTGCAAATAAAGCTGTAGAGTAGCAGTCGACTGAGAAGTAATTTCAGATGTTAGTGGTAACCTATTCAAAACACAAGTGAAAAAAGCAAGGAGAACAATAGATGACCTTTGGTGACAGTCTATGATAGGAAAGTAGTATAATTAAAACGAAAAGCATTTGCTAGAATGTTCTCCAAACTATGTAGTATCATCAAAATACCTTTAAAGGTTATTTTGCACTGCAGAAAACATGGCATTATACGCGTGACACAATGAGCAACATACTTTTTTTTGTCATTATAGAAAAACTGAGACAGGTGTCACACACTGGTAGAAACTTTCCAACAAATTTTATATATTCTTTAATTGAATTGTTCAGTAGCATTGTCAACATGATAAATCTGCATGCTTGAAACAGTATTAATTATGACTATCCTAAAAATAAATTCAAATACCTATCTTTTTCTATCATTAACAGCTTTATTCGAGTAATTGCAATATGCTGTTCTCCTATGTACAAGCTAACACATACTTAAAAGTAATTAAATCAGCTGCCAAGTTTTTTATTTCAAGTTCCTAGCCCAATGTACGAGAAATCTATACTATGCCAGAAATTAAATGTTCCTTATCTGCTACAAGGTGTGTTTTAGAAAGCACAGCCTTAGTAGAGCTACCTTAGCATTATACAATGCAGTAACCATATGTTGGACATTTCCATTCAGAAAATCTGAGTTTTTCTACATGACATATAGCATGATTCCCTAACTGCATCTACTGTTCTGTGTAGAGATGTTCAGAATTCAAAAATCCCAAAAATCCTGAAGCTGTCATGTGCCTGTTAACTGTCCTTTGCAAGAACCTGAGGGTTTGCACTTCAGTTTATCCTTCAGTTTATCCTTCAGTTATAAGATTAATATGATTTCCTTCTACTCCTGTCTGCAAAGACGAAACAGAAGCTCAATATCACCTTTACACATTGAGCTTAGAATCACTAGAGAAAAGCTGACCACTACACAGCACTACACAGCAATGAACCAAAAAAAACTAAGCCCAAAACCCTTAAGACAAAACACTTGAACAAGCCTAGAAGTGACAGGTATACCTGTCACTGTCAAATTATTATTTGCATAATAATTTTTAAAAAGCAAATACAAGTTTGCTGCTGTGTGTGCATACAGACCTTGTGCACACATGGAGATCTCACAATGCATGTGCAGTGTTTTTGTGTCTAGCAAAAGTTAGATGAATATTTAGATACAGATCTAGTTTTCCTATGAGATCTGTTATGAATCACTGGAAAATTCCTTTTAGCCTGGCAGATAAAGAAGAAAGAAACACTGTGGTATCTGACATGAGAACACCGTGAGCTTCCCCCACTGCATGTTCAGAGAGGCCCAAGTTGCTGTTTTACCTTTGCATCAGCTGAAAGATTGTCTTCCATCCCAGCTGCAGAAGGCACCCCCTGTGAAGTGAGGGAGGGCACCCCAAGGGGAGCCACCCCAACACCAGTCCATCCCAGCCTACACAATTCCCAGCCAAGCCCTTCTTCTCACAGTGTGACTCCTCCAGCCTGCCCCAAACCCCTGCTCTGGCACTGACCCCTAAGCACACGCAGTACAGGGGGTTTGTGCCAGTGAGACATGCCAAAAGGCACAGGTGGTGCCAGCCCACTTCTGGGCAGCACAGGAGGGAAGCTTTCCTGGAAAGAAAGATCTGCAGCCAGCACACTGCGCTTTTATCAGATATAAACACCAACCCACCAGATGTGTCTTTATTTCCTGGTTTTCCAGTGAGGACACTCATCTTTTTAATTTTTCCAAAGAGGAATATTGTGAAATATTGGGAAAATGCTGCAGAAGGTAATTATCCTAAACCTTGCCACTGAACTAACACAAAACGACTTAGGGAGCCATCCTGCACGAAATCTTTCATGTCAAATGCAAACTGCATTTTATTTGAAAGTGAATCAAACATTTATCAATAGTAAGGTCTTTTTGAACTTTAGAGTGTTCAAAGTCATACGGGCATTATAGCCACAAAATCTGTTATAAGTTGGCCACAACACCTTAAATTGATTTGACTGCCTTCAGGATTGAAATAATCAACATTTATATGGTCATTTCTTTGAATATTTCTTGCCTTTGAGTGGCTAAAAACCAATCATTTTTATGGTAATATAATATTCTGGTTTATAAACATACTGAGCATCCAACTGAACTTTTATAGGAAACTAAATTACATGCATTTCCTAAGAATTTAGAAGTAATGGGTCTTCTTTTACACTTCTGTAGAATCTAAAAACACAAAAGGTTGGTATATTAGATCTGAAGTGTACCATGCAGTTTCATTTTTCATCAATAGTACCATACTTGTGATAGTTGCTCAATATGCAGGTCACATCTGAGTGATGCTAATCTAGACCTAATGTGTAAATCAGCATTAAGCCACAGCTGCATTGCACAGAGCATATCATATTCTCTGTTGCTTTTTAATGTCTGAACTTGCTACACTGTGCTCCTGGCTTTTCAGTTCCCTCTAAGTGTAGGTTGCTTGTTTGATGTTTTTTTAAAATTCTGCTTTGAATTCCCAGTGACAGATTGAAAAAGATATAAAAACAGGGAAGTTTTACTTGAACTTCAGAACCGAAAATAGGAGACTTTCTTATTAGGTTTGTATATAGAATTTTACTAAAAGAAATCTAAACATAGCAAAAATTGTCAGGCATTGATTCTAAACCACTTTCATGTATTTCTCCTCTTTCTTGCTCTTTCAAAATGTGTTTTGAATTGCATGGCTGGAATAGGAATGCCCTGGAGAAAACCAGAGCCATGTTATTCACAAATACTCTATTGGGGAATTTTGAAAAATATTTAAAAAATGGCACGTGTGTCTTCCTGTGGGAGATTCCTGACTCCCTGCCAGTGCAAAACACTGCCAGAGCTTGTCAGGTTCAACTCACCGAGCCTGTCCTTTGACATCCATTGCTGTCAGCATTGCTACTGAGAAAAAGCAGCTCTTGTCCAGAAAAAGCAACGCTGGTCTCACTTGGGTGCTCCCTCCCATCCCTGCAATGCAGAAGCAGCAGACAGGAAAGCACAGGAACCACATCTGCTTGCAATAGTGACCACAACAACCAAACACACCACACCTAGAGCTCCTCTGCTGCTATTTGAAATCTCCCACCTTCCCCAGTTTTAGCAAAAAGAGCATTTCCCAATGATGGGAGTGATATTTTCACAACATGGTATATGGGAATAGATGGAAAGACATGAAAATTGGTTTAGGTGGCTTGGATATCTGCTTGGAAAAAAGATGACCAGCATCAGGTTCTGTTCAGATTAATCTGACTTCCACCCCTGTATACTTAGTTTTACAAATAAAATTCAGACCATGAATGCCTTGAGTTTCCAGAGAGAGAAAAATTATTTTCTAGGTCCTATATAAACAAAAGAAATTGAAGACTTACTAAGTACATTCTTATAAGCTAATTCTTCTGGGAAAGAGCCAAAAGTCTTGCAGTGTTTTCCCTGGGTGTCAAGCAAGGATAGAAAGCTTAGGTAAGGTCAGAGAAGCATGGTCCCAGATGCAGGTACTGTTGAGTCTCACCCATGGGCTGGCTGTTGACACCTTAATGCCCCAAGTGCACATCCAGGGTTTAATAATATACTGCATATCTTAGAAAGCCATAAAATAAGCTTTTTACAATGACACAAAACTTTAATATTAATGTTTTGGCATACCCAATTGTTTTGGAAGTAGAAGTGATGTAGGCATTGTTTGTCCTGCCTTTGGTAAGCGCACAAGGTTACCATGGCAAAAAAAGGATTGCTCACCACAGAAAATTGATGCTACAAAAATACACATCTTCAGCTACAAAATTAAATTAGGTTGTGTAACTACATTAATTTAGTTGCATTTTTACACAATTTTTGCTCTTCTGATGTTGCTTTCTCCTATTTATCAACCATCTGCCACCCTCCCCCTTTGCATTTCACTGAGCCCCTCTTCACCCACTCCCCTTTAAACCTCCTTGCCTTCAGTGCCTTCTGAAACCTAGTGCTTTGTTTCTGC